GGTTTCCCAATGCCCCTTGATGTCAGATGGTTGCAAGTGTAATGCTTGAGCAACATCTTTAGGTTTTGGTTCTTTTTCTGTACCTTTGTAGGGTAGTTGATTAAGAATAGAAAGGAGTTGAGAAAATTCCTCCAAAGTAGGCACCAATTGGTAATCAGGGAATGTGAAACAGTGGTGTAGGGGGTCAAAGAATTGGAAAATTACTTTCACCATGGCTTCTTCAATGCTGGTGTTGACTAAGTTGAGGAGTCTACCATGTCTTTCACTGAAGAGAGAATTCTCTGGAATCCTGGAGGTAAGCTCCTTGAGTTGAGGAGGGATCCTCACAAGGTTGACTTGAATTGTTTTCCTGCGAAGAGATTCCGTGACCTACAAAACAAGAACAAAGATGAAGATTCAAACCCTTGAAATGGTTAGTGGATGCATATGATGCTTTATGATGTTCATGATGTATGCACAAGCACATGTACAAGCAAGTCACACAAAACCCTAGTTTCAGGCTTGCATGAGGTTTCATAGGTAAGTACCCTCTTGAGTTTAGTTGGCTCAAAACCTGTCCTATAAATAGTAATCGGGTTCTAAGGAGCTCAATATCATTGGATTGTTTTCTATGTTCATTGTTTTGGTTTAGCCACTTAACTAGCGACCAAAATATTCCAAGAAAATAACCCTCAATGAGTGTAGTATCGAGTATCTACCAACTTCGGACTACACCAAAGCCGGTCATCTCACTACCCCTAATAAAAGGCCAAGATGGTCAAGTAAGGTTCTAGTTCATTAGTGCTTCATGACATCACTCAGCGGCCCCGTATTCTCTTTGATTGACTCAAAGGCTACTGGTACTCACAAATATGTTGCACTAATATAGCTATTGCTTCAACCGTGTCGGTATACCCCACACAGTTTCCACAATGTATTGCTATCTATGAATGTTTCCCAAATCCGGGTGTAGGATTTCAAGCCCAAACAAGAGAACCAAAATGTAAAGCAATCGAAGCAAACAATAATCATGCAAAGGGTGATCTAAGCCCTAAGGTTACTCCACTTTTAAAGAATATCCCCAGCAGAGTCGCCAGTTCTGTGATACGGTGGGAGAACTGACTTGGGTTTTTGCGTTTTGTGTTCGCAAATGTTTCGGTTTAGTAAGAGTCGCCACCGACTTTTTATTTTATCCTAAGGAAAGGTCAAAATGCACAGGAAAGACCTTTGAGATGTTTTCTTGGGTTCGGGGAGTAGATTATAGAAAAGGAAGGTATTAGCACTCTTTTTATCCATGGTTATCCATGGGCTCTTAGTTACTTGCTTAGATCACTTGCTTTACATTTCTATTGTTTGAAATGGTGCTTTTCAATTGTTTGAAATGGTGCTTTGTGTGTGGTTTTGAAAGATGTTTTGAAAAGAGGCCATCGTTGTGGCAACCTTTGTAATGATTCTTGTTTGAATGTATACAAAGGTGTTTTTGTCTTTTGCAAGGTTTTCAATGTTTGAAAGTAGGGTTTTGAAATTGTGTTGTGGAGTGTGTTTAGAAAAGTAGCAAGGATGTTTTTGCAAGCTTGATCAAGTAACTAAGAGCTATCTACCTTATTTTACTCAAAGGTCATTCTTATGTTTTTAACCTTTTGAACCGTGTTGCTTCACCATTGTATTTGGTGAGCAACCTTGTGTTAGGATGTTAACGGGACAGGCGCGGGTCATCGTATAGACCATGATAGCAATGGTGTCAAGTATTTTTAGCAATTTTCCGTAAGGGACTTGATCATTTTGTTTAGGCAACTCAGATAGCGTCATCGAGGGACTATGATCTTTTTGTTTGTTTTTGTTTTGCCAAAGTACTTGACATGCAACCATGGCCCATTTTTGAAGGCAACAAGTGGATTGTAACCCTAAGGGTGCAAGTGTGCATTGTGTTTGTTTTTCATGCATGTTATCTTGGATTAGGTCAAGCTAGTTGTTGATTTTATTTGCATACAAACCCTAGGTCTAACATGGCATAATTGAAAGCTTTTAAATGTGCGAGAATTTAAATGCTACACTATTACAACATGATATAGGGAGGGGGTACAAATTTGAATTGGGGGTATTTGACAAGAAATTAAACTCTAAGTTATTACAACCAAATCGAATGTATAGGCAATATTTAATATTTAAATAAATACAATTAAACAGATATCACATAAAATGTATTATACAAAAAAAAGATTTTTATGTATGTAAAAAGTATTTTTCCAATGTGAAATGTAAATAAATAAAAAAAGATCAATTTTA